TTCGCAGAATTACGCAGGGACAGTGGACGATGTCGGGTTTAGGTCGCGGCGTGTCGGCCTATTGTATCAACGCTCTGCTATGTTGCATTACTACCCGGGACACTGTTCGGAAACGCCTTCCATCTTAATATAACTCGATTCCCGTGAAGTGTGCGCATTGCTCGTTTCGTTCGTGGTTATGTAACGATCGATCGATCCAGGTACTATGTATCTAAAATTCTAAATATTTAAGTGTTCGTCTATCAAAAAGTCTGTATAGAATCATACAATAAATCATTGGATCAAAATAGAAATCGATCAAATGGAAGAATATTGAAAATTTTAATGAGAAATGAGTAATTTTTAAAAAGGAACGTCTCAATGCTGAATTCATTAGTTGAAACATCTGAAAATAGTAAATTATAATTTCTTATCTGTACGATAATGTTAAAGAACTCAAACAATAATGTTTTTCGCATACATACGTAACATTTGATGCGCCTAATCATTAGAACTTGTGTACCTAATTTCGTTTAGATATATTCGTATAAAGCTACACATTTTTCAATACTTTCGAAAACTAATGGTTTCCCTTATCTATGCCTCACTTCCCCTAATGCGGCATTTAAATTGGTGACCTTCGCATTGTTTTAACCACATATTATACATATATGGAAATTGGACAGATAACAATTTTCAATTAAACTGACTGCTGTTAGTGTCAGCAAGCTTCGCCGATGAAAAGGAAAGAGCCACGAAATACTTGTAATTGTCTGGGAAAACGACACATATCGTTAATCGAACGTTTTAATGCTGGATGCAAACAATTTTTTACTTTTAGAGAAGAAACGAAGAACACGCCGTTTACTTCGAGTGCATTAAGAAAAACTAGATGGATCGAGAATGGTTTAATCATACGGTATATACATCATTCTTAATTAAATGACTATAATATTGAATTAAGTAAAGAAGTCTAAATAATAAGGATTGATGTTTAATGTGACAACACGTTGAAAGTGAGAGGCATGTGATTGATGCCCAATGCAATAACTGAGTAATTTTATATGTCGAACATATAAAAAGAATACTTTTTTATAATATCCACCACGTGATGCAGATTTGTTTTTAATACCAGGAACTCTCTGTGGATTGTAATTAGAGAGAGACATGTGAATAAGATAGTTTTAATCGAGGAGTCGAATCGACTAGTTTGGTAAACTCGACGAGAGGATCGATTTCCGTGGTTTTCCCGTGGAACATGAGCCGTGGCTTCGGCGTTACGTAAGAATCGATCATCTTTGGGTGGGTATTACTACTATCCGGAGTTTAATGGCTCGTGGCTGTTTACTCCGCGAGAGGGGGTGAAGCCGAAATCGCGTCGGCGGCTGAATCCCTCGTTACTATCGACAAGCTCGGTTCCATCTCGCAGTGTGATTTATTGCGAAATAACAGGCTCGAAGTGTCCCGTGCCAGGTAAAGCCCTGACAATGTCCGAAACACCTACGAATTAACTGGATAAATGATGTTCCGCCCAATGATTGTGCGATTATCATCGCACCATAATTGCTAGAAAAGGTACCAAATTGCGGTTACTAGACATCTAGAAGATTTATTAATATATGTCAGTTAATAATTATTTAACTATCGAAACAGTATGTGATAAAATTTCTTGTTTCCGTTATACCTGGTTAAAGCACGTTTGCCGCGACGGAATTTAATAGGAGAAAATTTAGAATATAAACGAGCGCCGCGGCAAATAGGATTATTATACTCTGTGACTTAATAATAATTAGCATCGGGCTCGGTACCCGCGAAAAGCGTCGCGTAAAGTATTACTTGTTTATGCCGGCGAAGGAATTAAGATCGTTTAACCGGTGTCTTTTGTGAGGGCGGCGTTATAAATCGTGAAACGCGCGCGCGGCTCGTTGCCCGGTTAAATGAATAGTCGTTCTCACTCCCCCAGTCCTGAAACGTGTAATTATCCTATTTTCATCGGGAACCCTACTCGTTTAGATATAATGAAGTATGCCGCGGTCTGATATTTCAGAATCAATCCAATCACCTGTTATTTATAGCCGTTCACTTCCTCCGTACGCTGTTTGTTTTACTCGGCATCGATCCTGCGTCATCGTGCGGCAACGGGTAAGTGAAAGAAACGCGCGCGCGAGGCGTATACGCGTTATCTATGGAAAACGTGTGTAATCGGTCGACCGCGAAACGGTGAATAATGCGGGGTAAAAGTGAACAGGTTTCGGTAAAACGATGGGTCAGTTTTTGCCCGCCGGTTTATTAATGCAACGGATGATCGTTCTTCGCTTCGTTAAAACGTAATCACGTTCAATTATCCGAACAAAGTGTCCGCCATTTCGGTCGGATAATCGAGGTCGCGCTGTAATTTGAATAAACCACCGCGCGAAAAATCCGCCGATGCGTATCGCGGGCAAAAACGAAACGTTAACCTGCCGCTTTCATCGTCGCGTTAAAAACAATATATATCGCGTGTGTATATACTTCGGTACACAAAACGACACGCTATATCCGCGCCGTTAACGACTCTACCTCAACTTCAAACACGCATTTTTCAATTTAAATCTGATTGATCGGTCGACGGTCTATCGAAATTCTTGCTTTACACTTAGCGATGTAATTTCGTATCTATTAATTATTATCGGTGGAGAAATTAAAGCGTGGAAAGTTAAACCGAGCCGCTTCGTTAGGAATCCCGCGTCGGGGATTCGCAAAAAGAAGTATCGCGCGGACATGGAACAAGAGTTAAAAAAAGTGGGAGGAAAGTATACGCAAGAGTCCGAGATGAAAGGGGGTGAAGAGGAGAAGAGAAGCGAGCTCGATGCCCGGGGCCGAGGATTAAGCGCGAGAGCACCGATGTCTGGCCCGTCCTTTAATCCGACCAAATATTAACCAGATTCGCGACCCTGCTCCTTTCACATTTCGCCGGGTGACGGCATTCTTCGGCCCACTCAGGCCAAAGAAGAGCATCAATTCTTTAAAGTGAAGAGAGCATGAGAAAAAAGAATAGCGAGATTTCGTTTGGACGAAGAAGAAACCGAATGATTCTGATGACACAGTTCAATAAAAAAGAACTTTCATTTCTTCAACGTCCACTACGTGGGTCTTACAGAGTCTCTCATACGAAAATCAAATCCGGAAGCAGGATTGCTCTGTTAGGTTCTAATTTCTGAAAAATAGCAATTTTTATAAAATTTGAATATAAAAGAAGTAATGTACTATGAATTACTTTAATCTTATAAGACTGTCGTACCAGACAGGAATTTTCAAACATTGCAAGAAGTACAGAATAGTACTGAAAAGTGCGTTTTAAAAAATGGCCGAATTAATTTGTACATTTAATACTTAACGTACGAACAAACGATTGGGTGTGTTCATCGTGGAAGTGTGTAAACTTGATACCGAGGATTAACTTGTTTTGAAGTGATATACAATAAAGTTCCACTGGAACCGTGAGTAATGAGAAGAAAGTTGAGGATCGAAGTAAGAAAGAGAGGAAGAGGATGCACGTCGATTGACGGCATTATGCGAACGAGAATTACGTGTGTGCGGGCGTTCGCGAGCGTAACGGTGGCACAAGGGGGTGAAAGTGTGCGCCGCGGGATGAGAGAGAGTCATAAAATCGAGCGAAGTGAACGCCAGGAGGGAGACACTGAGTGATGTCGGTGACAGCCGCCTCTCTGCCCTCCACCTCCGCCGTCTCCTGTCGCTATTACTCACCCAACGCCGAATACCATTCAAAGTTCGAAACCGCACGTTCGCGACCCAATTCCTGCGTGGAGTCAGCTGTTCGTTTGGTTCATTCAAAGCACGATCGACCGCCGCCGCCGCCGCCGCCGGCTGGCCGCGTTCCGCTATCAGACGCGTTGAATTAATAACCAGAAAAATAACACACGCCAAAAAGGAGAAAAACGAACGGGTAGGGAAAAAAGATAGGTAAAGAACGATGGAACGAAACAGCGATGTTTACCGCGCGCGAAACTCGAGTGCCTTTCACCCCTGGGCCTCGTGCCGCGACACCCCTTCAGCCCTAGCGATGAAATATAGCAGCCAGTCGAAAATGACAGCGTCGATACTGTCCCCTTCCACTACCCGTTCCGCAGTCGACTCGCTTGAGCCCGTTCGACGACCAAAGACGGGCCAACGGACTATCCGACGGCCGGCATTTACCCGGGCCTCTCGTTATTTGTCAGGATCATCGGCCACGTTATTTAAGACGGCTAGCAAGAGCGACGAATTCCTTGCCAACAGCGTCCCTATCCTCGGGGCTATTCTACATGAGCACTATTTCTGGCCCGATATACGCGCCTCTCGTCTCTTTGGCAGGGTCCAGAAATTTTCTGCGTTCGATTCTTAACGCGAGCAATTTCCGAAATCGCCAGTAAATCTTTGAATCCTCAGTGAAAATTCGGAAAGTACCATAGGATCGATGAGTCCTTCATTCAATTTCATCATATAATATAATTTGTAGTCTGCCACTTACGAATGGACTAAGAAGTCAATTCCGTTTGTACCAAAGGAATATAAATAACACACTTGTCTGACGTTCCACAAACACAGCTATTTAAAACAATATCCGCGCGGCACGATTCTACCGAAGCGGGAACTTGAACGCATATGAGGCCCTAGATGGAAAGTTCTCGATCTCCTTTCTAAGTATGAAGAAACGTACGGAAGGAACGGTGCATTCTTGTACTGGTAGACGATGACGACGCCGTCCTCGGGTCTCGTCGTCGTCATCATCGTCGCCGCCGTCGCCGTCGTCGTCGTCGTCGTCGTCGTCGTCGTCGTCCGTCGGCGGTCTCGTTGGTAGTGGTGTAGCGATGGCGGAGAATCCCGTGGTTCGGAGTCTCGCCGTTTTAGCGCTTCGATCGTTGGACAGAAGTGGGGACGAGGGCGTGATCAGGGTGCACATTGGCCGGGGCCGGTGGGTGCGGCTTGCTTTACTCCCACTCTTTTACGTAGCGCGGCGCTGATTGACAGTTGGCGAACGACTGCGGACGGCGCAGGATCTAAAACCGCGCTAGGCGCTGCTCTCCACGCTCGCTCGCTCCGCTCTTCTCTTACCCGTGGAGAATCGCTACTCTACTACTACGGCCCGGTCGCTTTTTCGTGGGGGAAGAACTCGAAACACGCATATTCCCCGTGGTGGCCTACCGCGTTTGCCCGCGCGCAACATACACACCCGGCCGGACCGTTTCCACCTTCTGCCCGCCGGAGTTACGAGCGGCACACGCAGTAGTAGTTACGGTTGCGGGAGGAGGGCCGTGGACAGCTCTCTCGCGCGTCACCTCTTCTCTCACTCCTCTGCGTGACCGGTTCGGTCCGTTCAGTAATCGCCGCGAGGAGGAACGCGCTTCTTCTTCCGTCGCGCGGGTTTCGTTTACAACGCGTATCGCTTCGTTTTCGCGTGGAGCATCGCTACCGTAGTTTCGGATCGCGGACCACCTGTCCCTCCCCCCTCGGTGTGTGTTTATTCCGTCGTGTGCATCGCTCGAGGAGATTCAGAGTAAAAAAAAAAAAATTGGATCGCGGGAAACTCGTTGCAGCACCGTGTCGCGGGGATTCGACGAGGATCGGGTCGACGGTCATACCTCGGATTTAATCGGCAGTGAACTGTTATCACTCACCTGTGCAGCTAATAATACGTATTTCTACTTGGTGTTGAACGAGAGCCATCCCGTCGTACGTACCTTGTAATTCGCGCGCGATTCGATGCATCGACGGTTTGACTTCGCGCCAATACCCATCGGCCGATGTATACTTATGTGTCTCGGCAGTGACGCCTGTGCATTTCTATGCGTGTCGTTTCGTCTGTGCAAACGTCAGTGCAATCGATCGCTGGTATTTTACCAATTACAAAATCGTGCCCGTACCTGAAGAGTGGACAGCAGCAGCAGAGAGAGAGTATACGTGACAACTTAACGATTGTGTGACAACCGCGTCGGTTCGTGGTCGCGAGTATATTCCGGCCGAGTAAATAATCAAGTAACCCTTCCGAGATTCGCACCGTTCGGACGATCTCCGACAAGCAAAACTATACCGAAACATTCATATATCATTTTCCAAGGACACACGCGACAAAATCGGTGCAGCGAGGGAGACGTTGGCAATCGTTCACGCATAAAGAAAATAACACGTGCTCCGGAGCGCAGAGAAATACTGCGTATAATGTCGCGATACTGACAACACTGCGAGGTGGCAAGTGTCTCTGGGCAGCGGAACTACCGGCGGTGTCTGACCGCGACGATGAAGAAGCACGTGTGTCCGGCAGCAGCCGTGGTCCTCCAGCAGCGTTCAAACGCGCGCGTCGAGCTCTGCTGACGACGCTCGTTCCGATTTCTCGCAGACGCGTAGCGCGTCTCGTGTCGCCGGTCAACTCGGATCCGGGGATCGTCGCGGCCCGACGGGAGCCAGCGCGGCTACTACGTTCAGTTTCGAGGGTCTGCGGGCCGTCGGCTGCGGCCGCCGAATCGTAAGGGAAGAGAGGAACTCGTGAAGAAGAACGCTTGTCCGGTGGCAGCACTGTGCGCTCGTTTCCGTTCTTACGGTTTTCTTCTCAGTGCGTATCAATCCGTATATTTGTAAGTGCGCCGGAACCGATCGCCGTGCGAAGGCGAGTCGAAAAGTGGAAACCAGTGTGTGTGAAGTGTTCGAGGTTACTTGCGTATACTGTGGGAAAATACAGCCGCTACGGTGGCTCAGCACGCAGAGTTCCCCGGCGCGGCCAGGGCGTTCATGGCGCAGCCAAGGGTACGTCGACTCCACCAACGCTTTTTACAAAATTATCGTTCCCTCGTGGTCAACCGTTAACGATGTTCCACAGTGTTGCATTATTTATAACCGTGCGTGCAGTACGCGTCGTTTAGTTAATCGCGGCACGCGTGAATCTGCAGTCCTCTCGTCTTCGTCGGTGGGTGCAACGCATTTCGTGTTTCACGGTTCGGGGTATATAGAAATTGGACGGCAGTGTGAAACTTATATTTCAAATTGTTCCGAGCGATAGCTCCAGTTACCTGGTAGGAAACGTGACAGTGTGTCGGTCGTGGAATCTCATGAAAGTGGCTCGTAGATAGGGTTAAATCGAGTTCGAAACTGGGAACAGGAGGCCGGCTGTTTGAACGTGTCGCGTTGTAGTGGTAGGATACGCTCGGTTCGCTGGCCAAACGATTCGTACACGCTTCGGCCGACTTGAACGAGGCCTCGAAAGGACTTTGTTGTTTAGCACCAGCTTCGCTGTAATTGAGCAACTTCGATACCTGCAGTGTTGTAGGGTTCGAACAAATTCGAAGCAGTTAGGGGTGTCGTTCAGAAGTCACTCATAAGCATGTAATTCTATCTTCTACGGAAGCCTAAAGAAATTCTATAATCCAATAAGTAAGCAATAAATAATACAGAGAAGTTTTAGTACCTGCCTAGATTTAAAATTTTAGTATCTACCTAGATTGTTGTATTGTGTTCTTTTTGTAGTATAACGAGGTGTCGGAATTTTGTGTTAGAAATTTAGACTTTAAATCAATCGTATTAAAATATTCGATTTAAAGAGTTATTTAGATTTCAATCTGGAGGTTTTCATATTTTGTGTTATTTTTCAAATGTAATACCAAAAACTAGGAATACATTGAAATCGTGGGTTTTCTTAACATAGACAACAGACAGGCAAGAGTGATCAGTGATACGGTATTCTCTAAATCTCCGTCAGGAATATTCAAAAAAAATCAGTTCGATCTACTAAAAAACATGGAAAAGTGAAACTAAAGGAAATGTGTTTCTTGAGTAAAACGGGTCGCGTGCGTGTGCAGTGTCTGAAGTTCCGTAACGAGTAGAAACTCTGTCGAGGTGGACAATCCGAAATTATTATTTTACTCAAAATCGGATGCCCAATATCGGACCGACACGCGAGATTGCAATTTAGTGGACGTCCATAGTTGAAGAAATTGATTCGTGATTCTCGTCTTAGAGCTGAATTTCGATCATATAAAGATCATTTGAATCCAGTATTCACCCTGGAAACGTGTCCGTCGCTGTTTTCGTTCGGATCGTCTCGAAACTCCGACTCGCGTGCGGCCATTCGCTGCCCGTCGGACGCGAAACGATGTCCACTCTCGACGAGATCTGCTCCAATCTTCTCATCTCGAGTTTTATAGTTATTCTTGTGGGAAATCAGTGCTTCTCTGCTGTTCAAAATAAACGTTACTTTGATAGTGAATTTGATTTTTAGTGGAACTCGATAGAAACTATTTTGGCATAGTGCGCCCCGATATTCTTCTCTCAAATCTGAGGTTTGCCTGAAAACTATTGTTCTGAGTAAATGTGTTTTCAACGGTGATACAAATTTAGTTGACAAGTAGTGGAAGTAATTTCGGTGCATAATTTCGAAGACAGTTATTACCAATTCGTGTAATAAGTTCTTATCTTCGTGTCTGGAAACAATATGAGTCGAAAGATATTTTAGTAAACAACTATTTGCGAGTCGAGTCAACTTACACTTGACACATATAACAACGGACGAACATTGTTCTGTTCAAAGTAGTTCTAAACGTTGATAAAAAATTTGTTTGTCGGTGTCTGGCGTTAGAATTTCATGCGCGTGTAGTGCTAACTGTTTTAAAGGGTTAATCGGTCAGGTTTTCTGTGACATTTGTTGAATTCCAGCGACGCGCACGGTTTTATCGGGCAGATCCAAGTGAAAACGGTATCGGCGCCGATAAAGAGCTTTACGAGATCACCGATAAGCGACGATTGCTCGCGTGCCGGTCGATTTTCAAGTGACGGAGCCCACCTCTCGTTTGACTCCTATCCGACGCGACGGCCTCTTCTCCGCTTGTCGATCTCGGCTTGTATCTCGACAAAAAGCTTCCGTTCAGTTTTCGACAGACTCGCGACAGACTTCGGCCCCTTTATTGACACGGAGACTTCTCGTTCATCGACTTTAATCGATAATTTCCCCCAATTCCTCGAGAAATTCGATTATCTTTGATGCGACTCCGAATTCTCCCGTGAAATGTCAAAATATTGTGCAAGTTTAATATTGGAATTCCGGGAATAATTGTTATTCAACTAATGATTCTCCTGTTCTACAAAAACAATTGTAAAAAGTCTTTGAATAATAGAAGTTCAATTTTTAATTTACATTTTTACGAGTGACTTCTTGCCTGAGAGAATTATTTAAATTCAATATGTCTAATGAAATAATAATTTCTATACAGTGTGTGTGATCTCCACGAGCTTTTAAAAAATGTATTGCTTAATACTTTAGTCAAACTGAATAGCGGGATCGATTGAAAAATTTCATTGCAGTAATGGAACAATAATTTCGAGGCAACGATCAAACGCTCCTCGATTCGTTCTCCGTTTTGTGTAAAGCGCTTGTCATAAAGAATTCGTGACATGGTTTAATAATGGATTACGTTTCGACCAGTCATGCTTGAAAATTTAAGCAGCGGCGGCTTGCCTCGAATGCGTAATTCGAAATTCGAACATAGTTGATTGGGTTTGAACGATTTCGTGAAATAGGCGAGTAAATTCTGCGAACGCGAAACGGGCGAAGTTGCCTTTTCCGTCGAGCACGAGTGAAACGTTTGTTAATATTGCAACCGGTACCTTGAGGCGGTTCGATTAGTCGTAAGTTATTTAGAAAAATTGTTTGACCGAAATTCATTCTATATTTGAAAAGCTACATTTACATAACACATGTAAGGAATCTTGAATTATGTATCTTATTGATTAATTCCGCGGTTAAATTCATTCATTTTTAACGAGGATATCAAAACCGCGAGTACGTAATTCTTCATTATTAATTTAATATTATTTCGTAATGCATTGGGTTTCTAAAAACGGTGACATAAAAGTTCTCTTGTGTCACATTCTGTTTCCTGTACTTATTTACCTGAAAAAAATCATTCTTTGGGACACGTTCTGCACCATTTTGGCCATCACTGACCGCTACCACTAACTTTAATTAAGTCGTAGACACCGCTTGTCACTTGTATCCGTCAATCATCGACCCTGATCAATGCCTGAAAAGAACTGTTCCAACGTCTAGGCTACTCTCTAACTTTACCGCGTAATGTACTGGAAGAACTACTAAACCAGAATTAAAAAATCAATTTCAATATCTTCTTTGATAGCATATATATAAAGCTAAACACATTAATCATGTGTACTTTATTTTAGATTATTAGAGATTAGATAGAGAATTGTACTTTACTTTAGACAAACATATAACTTGCTAAGTAGGTATGCAGTTCCATCAATTCTGGAATGCATTTTAGATTAATTTTCAATCGATAGGACCTGCGAAACCCGTTCGTGTTCATTCTTTCGGGTCAGATGGAAGAAGCTGGAATTTGAGAAAGAATTTGAGATGAGTTTTCCCCGTCCGCGCATTGTCGAATCGAAGTTGCCAGGATTAAAAATTCCAGAGTTCGGTGAATGGCGCGAGATTTTTGTCCGCGTCGCGTCGCCTGGCGGCGTACGAGCCATGATTATGTATTTATGGGTATCCATCAATCACTTTCGCTCTTCTGATCGTGGACGTATCGGCCTTTAGCCTATGGATTCAAGTGGTATCGATTTCTCGCGCGTTTCATGGCTTACCTTAAATGAGCCGAGTTTTTTCTCCTTTCAATTCGTCAGGTGCAACCTTTCGGATACACGGTCAGATATAATGCGTCGGTCGAAAAAGAAATGTCCGTCTTCGGAATTTTTGTGGTGAAACGTCAAATTAGATTCCATCAAGTATTAAATTCAAAGTGTTTTGCATTTACTCGAACCCAAAAATTTGGTTGACTAAAAATTACGAGTAATGCATTTGAGATGTACAATCATAAATTGGAAAGTAGTCAACGTGTGGAAGATTTAATTGTTTTTATAATCAAAGGAACATGATACGTGTTTTATTCTTAATTTCAATGTCTGCCGTGACGTCAACTGATCGGGTTAAAGATTCTGGTTATTTCCGAATATTCGTCTCCGGTCGCGCTCTTCTTTTTTCCTCCGTAAAAAAAGGAACGCTGTTTCGTAACGGACGTTTCGAGCAATCAGAGATGCATTCCCTGAAACTGTTCTAAGTATAGATAATGAGTCTTGTTCCAAATTCCAAATAACTTTCAACAAGAATCTGAAACGATGATGAGACTCCGTCGAGGCTCGTTCAAGGCAAGAACTGCTTTCGATCTACGGTTTCCCCAATTTATTTGACTCATTGGTGCCTCGAGGTCCTCCAATTATTTCCAGCAGCCCCTGCGGAGGTCGTTTCAATCTAAGTCCGGCGAAATTCGTCGACTCGTCGCCTCTGCGCGCCTCGAAATCGACGAGCTCGTCGAAAAGGAGTGTATTTACGACAACGCCGGGTCCGTTGCACGATGCGCTCTCGAGATAGGCGAGGGCACATGGCGCTGCGTCCCGCTGCATGCTTGTACGTCGCAATGTTTTCCAAATGTCGACATCAATCAGAAAGTAACGAACAGTCGCCGGTCCCTGTCTCTCACTCTCTTTTCTCTCCTGCGGCTTCTTTCTCCGTACTGGAATCCCAGCCATGTTTCTGCGGACCGTGTCCCTTTAAGCTCCATTCACACATACGCACTCACATACTGATTTCTGCCCGTATAAATTTCCCCGAGACCGTCGCTCGATTAATAATCGATTTACCCGTGGAACGTGGTATCGAGTCGAACAAATTACCCGGATGACCGGCTCCTGAAATTTGTCGTACCGCGACACTTCAGAAAATTAGATCAACTGTTGCCCTTAGATATTTATAGATTTTCCGAAATCAAAAATGTAATAAGTACGGAAACAGGAGTGTCACCATCGTGGATCGCGAATGTTTCCAAATATCTATTTTACATTACATCTCGTCGCATTAACGTCCGTGAGAAGTTTATACAAGCATTACAACTAAGCCTGTAAGCTCGGTCGTGTCGACGACCCGCCAGAATAGCCAGCGTTAATATAGGACACCCAGCATTTCGTACATCCACTTTTCAATGAAAGTTTCATTCTTTAAACTGCAACTGTATATGAAACATTTTAGTTATTCAATGATTATAAAAAAAGAGGGTTCGGTTATTGGTGTTTACCTTTCCGGCGCGAGAAATCCATCGGAGACTGCTCGTTGATCACCGTAGGGCCCGGTCTCTTCGATCCTGACCCGTCTCATAGATTTTCACCGATTTATACATCTGGCGAGACGCGATCTTGCCAGTCTTGTATTGATCGCGAAAACCAAGGAGGTACTTACCTACACTTCTTCCGCGTCGCCTGATTTATATCGTGCCGTTTAAGCACACTTGCCTTGACCTGCCCTGCGGCTTGTAAATTAACCGTCTACGAATCCTCGAACCACCGCCATCGACAAGCCCAACGCGACGTCTAATCTTGAATTCAAACGATTGCAAATTTGTTGGAGCATTTCGGTGTTCTTTATAAAAAAAGTTGGCCGATATCAGTCTCTTTTTTATTCCTAAATGGAAGTTTCCTATGAGAATAGAGATATATTCTTTTTAGGAATATTTATTTTACGTTTGACCAATTTCAATTTGTTAATGTAGATAGAATTTAAATTTTTAGTCACGCGTATAGTTTCGCCAAGAAAGAATGACGTTCGATCGGAGAGACAAAGAAGTATGCAAATGTCCGTTTTTCAATCGGCAACGTGACGCGAGGTCGCTCGGCTAAGCGCAATAACAACAACGACGAACATTGTTACGAACATTCGCAATAACTCGTCCTGTTCCGCGTCTCTTATCGAGTATCGTTAAAATTTCTCGCTATTCGCCATTTGTCGAATCGAGCGCGGCTCGGAGCAGTAAGCTCTTCAATCGCGTTATGAATATTTCATCGCGGCTGCAGCTGCGCGCACCGTGGAAATTCATGCCAAATAATTCGCCCCGAGTGCCGAGCGTTGTTTACACCGCGCGAAAACGCATCGGTGAACGTTCTACGTCTTGAGCGCGGGCGAAACCACGCGCGACGCTCGCTTTTCGAATGAAAATTGCCAACGTTGAGTAGAAATTGAAATTAGGTCAGCTTAATAAAATTATGTACAGAGCAAAATAAAAAGTTATTTGAGAGAAATTCTTTTGCCGTCGTCCGCGCCTGAGGACGTCTCCCCTTTTAAGATATGAAGTTGTAAGAAATTTCCAAAGCATTATTCTTTGGAAATTATTTGGAATAGAGAATGTAATTCAACGGGGAAACTGTTTTGCTGGTTAATCGTAAAGACTTTATACGTGGACAACGTGGCGACCTCCAATCGTTTCTTATAAGCTGATATCTGAATCGCTTTAGAGTCAGAGACCTTCGATGCTCTCACCCGGTTTAAGATATTCCGTACGATCGACCGGTGATATCTTCATAGTCCGCGACCGTGGTGAATTATTAGGCGACAGCATTTTCTTTTCTGCCCTTTCCCGGCGATGGAATCCATTTTCCGGCTGTCGTTTCACGCGCGCGCCGAACGAACGCGACGGAAAAGTGGATTGCTCGAGATTCGTTTTCCGTCTCGGTATTCGCCTTTTTTATATAACGGAATGCTTTTAGCGGCGGCGTAATTGAGTTTCACTTTACAATTTTAAACGTTTCATTTTTAACGCACTCGCTGGCGTCGTACGGTATTAGGATTATTCATGAGAATAAACAGTAAATTATTTTCTAGGGTAACTCGTTTTTCGCGTGATTTCGGATTCACTGGATGAGAGAGCGAACGAATTGAATAATCAACCGACTTTTTCTCAACGACGAAATGGTGAAATCGGTTCGCGCATCCCCGTTAGAAATGTTTTTCACGTCGATACAACGCCGATGGAACGAATCACGGCACGGAATGAAACCTTTCCAGCACATATTTCTGCGATGTCACCTTTGCCCACGGTTGTAATTAAGGATTCTCGATTACCTTAGCCTGCGCGCACGGTGTTTGTTTCGAAACCGACTCCGATAACCGGCGAACAACATCGTTTTTTCCTCTCCTCCATTCTCTCCTCTGTCTTCTTATTTTATCGTTTTTCTTGCTGTGATAAAATTACCAGCTCTCAGAGTTGACGGTCGAGCCGTGCAATTAACGATAATAATCGCCTTGCTTTCGTTTCCGTATCGTGACAAGGTACACGATGTGACGAGTCAAGAAAATCATTGGCTTCCTTCTTCCCGGTCCGCTGCTCCGCGATCCAGATATCTGCCCCCTCCAGCGTTTAAAACTTGCTCAGATTTTCCAGATTTTTCGTTTTAAGTGCAATCAGGTTTAAATTTTACGTCGACTCATTCTTCGTACCAGTTCAACTTACTTCTCTGTTGAAAATTATTATAAGTCAACTCTATGAAGGAAAATTAATTTCATTTCAAAATAAAAGTTCACAGAAATTTAATTTTCTCAATCGAATTAAGTATCTTAATCATTGAACTACATCTAATAATAATATCTAGTAGCTGTGTTTTTATTTTACAAAATGCAAATATTCATGGTTCAACTAGTTGCTGATGTAATAACTTGTAAAAAAATATTTACATAACATTTTCAATTGACGTGAAGCTCTGTAAGAAAATTCATTAATATGTATATAACCGTAAAGTGAGTATTTATGTATTTTGCAAATGAAACATTCGGGAATTTCATTACACGATTAAAAAATTATAAACATACTTCGAGGAAACTGGTATTACTGTCTTTGATTCGCTTTAAATCCCAGTAATAGATAGAATTGCGAATATTTTATATGTTGAATATTACGTTCAACGTGTTGTTATGAAAATGTTTCATTAATACTTTCAAAGGTCCATTGCACTTGCATCGCGAGCCAGAACTCGCTGTCCAATGTCGTTCAGAACGTTATTACCTGTATCTTTACTACTGTTGCGACTTTGTTACACATTTCTTCTTACTCCGTTCAATGATCGTCTAATGAAACGAGAAAACAAAGGCGGAAGCGAGACTTCTCGGTAAATTCCAAAGCGTCCCATCGGTATTTCTGGTTGCTCGGTTGTATTTTCGATTGCGCGTTGTCGGCGCTGTCTCGCGGAGAGCGGAAATAAATTCCGCCTATTTTTGCGCGGTACGAACCGCATTCCGCGGCTATGGCACTTGGAACAAGGACGGCCGGTGCTTTCTATTTTTAATACTTTAATAGCGCGAAATCGATGATTCCACTTACGTACGCCACGTGGCGACAATCGCGTTGTGTACACAATTCATTACATACGTTTGTACTCCCGTGTATTTCCTTGTCGAAACATTTTGTAACGAAACTTGGAGATTCCCGGCATTTCCAGCGTTAATCGACTCTTGCCGGGCTTATCACGATTATCGTGAGCCTCTAGAGCAGGGCTAATAATGATCACTGATAATACGCGAAGTAGCCGCTTCCGCGATACCTCCGAACACCGCGAGACGCTTCAAGTGCGTGTGCACTTTGGCAAACGTTCTCCTCGGTATTCGTTAATTTATTTTAATTCGCGCAATCTCATTCCTTTCGTGGAAGAAGTATCTCAGTGCATTTGCAACAGTTCAGTTTTTACATTAACTCCTGTGAAATGTATATGATTCAACGGATTCTTGATCCGCGAGAGTTAACGACGACGTTTTCGCGATGGGCAAAAAAAAAAAAAAACGAGTAAGCGTGACACGCAGCAACGTTTCGCCCGGCTCGGGAATTGTTAATGGCGTCGGTAGCAAACGATCGTAAATTTCCTGCAGGTCGATACCGTCCGTTCGACGCAGTTTTCTCTGAACATCTGCCGCGCCGCGTCGAGCCGAGGTGTGGGCCGCGCGTTTTAATTACATACAAGCGCCGCTTAAACTCACGCGTACACACAGCGGTAACACACGTATACGTACGATCCGATCGATTATTTCAACGCTAATTCTGTTTTTCTCTGTCTTTTCTGCTCCTCTAGTATGACGATGGCGGGCTGCACGGGAGTTACCTCGAGGGCGGAGGTGGCGGTGGTGGCGCAGGGCTGTACGATCCGCACGGGAGCGCCCGTGGTGTACCCGGTCTCCATCACAGTCCTCACCTCGGGGGTATGGGGCCCGCGCACCCCCAGTACCCACCGCCCCCGCCTCAGCCACCGCAACACGTCCTCGCGGCGGCCGCCGCGGCCGCTGCATCCGCCGTACCCGATGTCCACAAACGCGACAAGGACGCGATCTATGGGTAAGTCCGATTCTCTCTCCAATTCTTTTTATACCTCTTGTCTGTTATTATTATTTATAATTTAGCGTTATTGCAATTTGCCGTATTTAAACTTGATCTGTTTTAATTAACCCCTTGACATACAATGACGAGTTTGACTCGTCATTTATTCCATTTAATTTGTATGTAAAGTTTTATTTAATTTGTATGTCAAGGGGTTAATCTTTCTCGCGGTTTTGGTTTTCACGTAATACCTCAGAATCATGCATTTTTCCACAACCACTATTATTTGGAAACAGTCCGTGATGAAACATTTCTGCTGGATTCACTTTTGACATGAGAAACTATAAGAATCAAGTAATGAATATTGTAAAAAGAATTTGGTATTGTACAGCGCTACCGCTTTAGAGTTATTGTGTATCAGATGAAGATTGACTTCTTGATTAGTGGTTTAATAATCTGATAAAGCGAAGAACATATACTGGTTATTAAATTTTTAGGAAAAACAGTTGATTAGTCTTGTCTGTTCTGTGTCACGTCGATTGCCCAGTGACAATTATATCATCTTTTTGCGCACAGCTAAATGTATTCGCAGATGATACTATAATTATATACTATCCGCTTGTACGTTCCTTCGGAGGGAAAAAACAGGATGTCCAGATGCATTTAGAATTATGTTAGGTAATACGCCGATAATGTATTAAAGTATATCAAGGCACACGTTTTAGCGCACGAAGCGATTTCGCGGGATTTTCGATATCAATCGCTGGAATCGCTTAGGTAATTTCGAAACGACGCGACGAGTACGTCGGGAAAGGAGTAGGCATTATCACGTACGATTGGAACGATAAGGGTACGAAGTCCGTAGGCAAGGCTCGGAAGCGCCGCATTGTGCAGCAATTAAAACGCGCGTTTAAAATCGGATGAGTTAGAAGCTATTATCAAAGAGCGAGGGGGATTGGTTAACACTCGGGGCGTGCGTTTAACGTGGCACTAACAGCGTTAATCCGGTCGTAACTTCGTCTCGCGTAACAGCATCGCGGAATGTGGCGTTGCATTGAGATTTTTGATCAATCATAATGAACGCGTGACTTACGGGAATTCATGCGTGTTACTCGTTTCTTTTCTCATCGTTCTCGACGTGCGTTTATTTATTTTATATACTTACATTATCAGCTAGATTTTATTTAGTTCTCTCATTAAAAGATAAAAAGTTCGTTTAATGTCCGTTTATGTATTCAACACGCGTTCGGGTTTTCGTTCTAGCTTAAAGTTTCTTCTGCTTGCCGAACTTCTCTCGCGTGGATGAAATAAATTTCGATTGTGCATACATACCGTAGCTCAGCTCGATGATTCATGATCAACGCGAAATTCAGTTCCGCAGTTTTCTTCTTTCATCGCAATCCTGTGTAATTTTCTACCGTCCACCTTCAGGGGAATTATCTTACCATTCGACACGTTCCACTCGTCGTTTTGCGTGGCGCGTTTAATAATCCGCGTGGAAAAACCCCGTGCCCTGAAATTCGTTTTTAGACGCAGCCGTTTTTTCACGCGCGAACCTATTTACCCGTTGTAATCAACGTTCCTGCTATTTCTCTATCCCCGGTGAGATCGCGAATTATTCTCTAATAAGTAGTAATAGGTATTACACATCTGCGTATTCACCCAAGCAGTAATTGCGTTTTGTGCGTAATAAAAAATATTTTTCTCAAGTAGAATATTAATCTTATAAAAAACGGAGTCGATTAGAGATTGTGAAGTTAGATCTTGAAGATCCGCAATGAAGGCTCTGAGAGCCGTGAGCGCAAACAGGGAAACGAGTGTGAATGAAAGAAGCGGTGGAAGCACAATCTCGGCTTCGAAGGAGGTTGTGCCTCGTGCCACGCTTGCTTCCAGCGGGCTTGAAACTCGTCAATTGGCCGTTTTACGAAGCGGCTGGGCCTGCTCGTGTTCCGTGTGATTTATAGCCGCGAGATGGCCCCGATTTCTGGTATACGTCCTAGAACGGGAGCCTCATTATTTCGTGCACCCTGTAATTTGTCCACTCGTCGTGTGCCCCGGCCCACGGACCACCGATTCCCATCCCGGAATCCTGCGCTTTCTCGGAACGCTCTCGGAGAATCGAGATCCGAGGCTAGGGACGCCGTTTAACCCTTCCGGGCCGTTCATTTCCTTGCCCCTGTTAATAAACTCGTGTTTACAAACCGATCATGTATGCTCACCGACTCCCCCTAGAGCATTCATGCTTATAGATTTTCATTGATAATACCGTTTGAATAAAAAAAGATTCAATGGACGTTGGTCAAGATTTGGCAAGAAAGCTTAATAAAAAAAAAAATTTAATTTGTTGGACAAACCAAAAATATAATAAGTTCAGTAAGTGCTATATTTAACTCTCATAGAAAATTTACTGATACGATGTTAGTCTTACGATGATCAAAGTCGACATCGAATTTCGGTTTGCCAATGTCTCATACATACACACATACATACGCTGCAGCCTGAAAACGACGTTATCACCGCAGCGGTCGATTGATGGCGGAGGCGAGACGTGGATAAAAATTGCTCGAAACGAGCGGTGATTCTTGCCGATTGCACGGAAGAGAAGCGTTTTACGCAAGCGTTGGCTGGCTGGCTGGCTGGCTGGCTGGCTGGTAGACGTAACGCACAGGCGAATCTGCCAATCACGGCTAGCTCGAATCCTTATGCAAGGAGCATGATTGGCCGAGTCATTTATGGATTAGACGTCTTACGCAAATCTCTCTTTCTCTTTCTGATTAGAGGTGCTGCGATGGCTCGTCGTTCGCGTCTCTGCTACCCCCCGCCCTCTTCCCCGTGCACGCAGGAAATCCTCTTCTGGATCTCGTGCGTTCGCGAATCAGACCGCACGGTCCTGTCCGATATTACACTTTTCCGATTGACGGTAATTAGCGCGACAGACTGACAGAGAGTTTCAGCAGACGACCGGTTAATGAATATTAATGCACTGTTTAATAGAATTGATTGGCGCGCGCCGCCGCGCGATTACGTCATACGCGCGTAGCTGTGAAAGCAGATTTTATTTTGGCCCAGAAAAATGATCGAGGGAAAGGCGAAATTACAAATGCAAATTCAAAGACGACTTATGTATATGGTCATCTCTTATTTTCTTTTAATTTTAACCTTTTATTTTTGCGTAATTTTACTCACATTGTTTACTTGATACAAGTTTTAAAGATAAATGCACAGCTGTAGAACCACCTGTACGGGTTCGAAGGAAACGCAGCAGGGGTAATATCGCGGTTTTCGGCAAATATAATACCACGATTGATTCTCATCGATCGACGCCTTTATCGCTTATTATCAGTCCGTCACTCGTTCCCGTTGTTTTTATTTAACCCGCGATAAAATCAACACGCAGACGCGATATGCAAAGCAGAGTTCACTTTCACCGAAGCGACGCGACGTTGGGCTCGCCTTGTCACCTCGGCCAGGGTTGCGTTTCAATATTTCAATCCGTCGTCGATGTTAATTAATATCCACGAGTTCTCATCGTATACGGAAATAAACTCGTATAATATATTTCTGTTCAGCATTTGCATACATGCTACATTGACGCGTATGAAACTGTCGTTCGGCTCTTTTAAGGATAAAGTAAGGTAATGTGCAGTCGGGATCTCCGTCCATTACATATTTCAAGATTCGTATCTTGAATTTTATATAAATAACATGTTGGAGAAGTATGTACGAAGACTTGTGAACGATTACATGAAATACTAGTCCTTCACAAAATTTCGGTAAAGTAAAAATTCTTTTTCCTTCGAAATTTCGAAAAGTGCTTCGAGCAAAATTTGTAGATAATTTTCTTCTAACTCGAATACTTCAGGAATAATCGATTAATTATCGTCAAATACTTCTTAACGAGTGGAGTTGGTTATGGAATCATACGAGCCGACACCAAGAGTGAGCCTCTGTGCTAGAATTCTGATGCTTTTGCGTGAATCAAGTTTTACCTGCAATTATCACCTGTTAAGTTTGAATCATGCATGGAGAAAAAACGATCGAGGACCGATGAGGAATCGCCGGTGAAGTGTATCGTAACTCGCAGCGTGAAATTGGCGATGACCGAGTATAAAAAGGGCCGGGTGGATCGGGCAAGGGCGAAAAGGGGTTCGAATCGAGGGCGGAAACCGCAAAACCGCAAACATCCTCCGCGTCCAGAGAGCGGACAATCATATCATTACCTTCTGCGGTCCCGGTCATTCCGACACCTCGTTTCGACGTCATTTGTCATCGACGTTACGCTCTCTTTACTCTCTCGCCGCGCCACCGCACCGCTTAAGAACCGTGTGCACGCCTCCATTCACGTTAGCGGTTTTTCCTGATTGCGTTAAAGACGAACCGCGTGCCGCCCTTTTTGGTAACTGTTGAAACCGCTTCCAATCGGCAAATCTGTGGCACGTTCCATTCCTTTGTAAAATCGTCTGTGACATACAAATGAAGTCAATGAATTTCAATTGTTCCAGTTAAATAGAAGACTTGCTGAACTTAAAAATCTTCAAACTTCTTCAACTTCATATTCAAATTTGTAACATATTAAATTAAAAATTCTTGCGAAGTTCGAATAGATTTAACGAGGTGTTAAATAAGGCGGTTATCGGGTAGCTGTAGCAGCACCGCGGTTGGTAAAAGTAGGAGAGGTTTTATTGTTAGGTTTTTGTGGTCGAACGGTGTGGCGAGATTGAACCTGGAACGATCAGGCCATATATGTGGTGAAAGTGATCGTTTTATGCTGGCCCGTTCCATGTCGCATCGCTGTTTGTCAGTCGGACGTTTGTAACAAGTGGAAAGCTTGTAGCCCTCCTTCCTGTTTAGCACATACTGTGGGTTCATTGAGTAATTACAACCACCGTAATTATCCCCCAGGTCTTTTTTCGTTAAGACCGCAGGTACGCGTCTATAATTAACATCCTGCGAATTAGTTATTTTTAGTGTAGCATTAAAATTCATAATTCCGGGCCTTGGACGATGATACGATCGGGCATTTGCAATTATGAAATGTCTATAGTGCGGGTCAAGAAGCTCGAAATCCGTAGCTATAGTTATTATCGGCAATCATAAATACGTCATGGCTCTAATTAAATCGATACGATCTCGCCAAGACGAAGAAGCTCCATTCACTTCCTCGACGGCGATAGACGGGCGCGCTCGCGTTCATTCCGTTCGTTTGCGAACGCCAATAATCGTTCGCTAATACGCCGTTACACAATAATTAAGTCCCGGTCTGGTGCGTCGGTAGCCTCCATCTCTTCGATCGATTCCACCGGCTCGTTTTGTTCCGTCGCGTGCAATTAGGCTAATTGGTGAAAATAGAAATCCCCGGCGATGGAACCGATGGCCACGGAGAAAGTCGCGGGTCTCTTCCTCTCTTTGAAACGAAACACCAGCAGCGAGGGTGGATACAAGGAATTCAAAAACACAGGAGAAGGCTCGTAAGGTGAATGGAGCCGAAGGAAGGTGGTAGAGGGGCCTCGAAACGGAGGGCAGAGGTTTATTTTTTCGTTTGCGTCGGCTCCGGCCCGCAGAGTGGTCGTTGTTCGCGGCGGCCGCGTCAATTTGTCGAAATTCGTTCCGATTCGTTTTATGTCCGCCACGCCGCGAGACGCGACCCGCTACCATGCGTACACAATGCCTCTGCCCATAGTGCTACCACGTATCCCCGGACCGTTTCCTCGACGATTCGTCTCGAGACCTCTCGACTCGAGGACGCGTAAAAATTCGTTCATCTCTGTTTCAGCGGCGAGAAAGAAAAGGGTGGTCCCTTTTCGTGCTCGTTCTTTTTTTCTTCTTCATCTCTCTAACGATCTCTTCTTCGTTTTCTCGCCGTGGCCTATCCTCACCGAGAAATTGTTCGTTTCCCGCTGGGAATTGTTTAGCGATTAGACCGAGATAATTGAGCGATTAAGGCCGCAGCGTTCTGTCAGACTTTTCGGGGGAAATGCGGGCTCGAACGAAGCGACACAACTTAATTGTAATTGTAACAGTAATAACGATCCTTTTATAAAATCCGGCATATGTTCGTAGTTCAGCACTTATAATGAAGATAATGTAAAACACGAGGAGAGAAATTACGAATGATAAATAATGTAACAACAGGTTTCATGATGAATTCTGCATACTTCCTGTCATTTTGCTGATTAATTACGATGTGCTACTTGGAAATACTAACAAGAACGTTGTAGATCATCCGACAGTGCTAATTGTCCTGTTTCTTTATCCTTTTCTTTTTCCCCCCTTTAATAATGCGAAGGTTGTCGCTCGAAGTGCACGCACTTTAAATCACGAGGCGCAGGCCCTGCCGATTGCATCGCTGCACCGGCTAATCTTATCTTATCCGATTATTCTCCTAATGCCACGGTAACCGTGCCCTGTGTGCGACACGCTCGAAAGTATCTCGAAAATATTTTTTTTTCTTCCCAGTGCCGGTCTGGACAGAAACGGGCGCGTTTAGGTGCACACGACAGATAATGAAATAATTAACCCTTCTTACGGAATTCTAAACACAAACCTGTAAACTGTTGTCATAATTCTTGCTTGAAATTGATCAAAAATTATTTTGCAATCATTTTCGAATGACATTTCAATCTCCTACATATTCCTAAATAATTGGAGATAGAATTGGTTATTAAATTTTTGGCTCATTGCAACAGTTATAGTAATCAAATGTAATAGTTAAGAGAGGTTGACGACCTACGATAGGAAACGCACATTTTTATAGTGAGACCTAGCCTACGTTAATTGGCGCGTTTTTGTTCGCTTCCTTTTTTCCTTGCTACTTCGGTTGTTGCACGCGCGCGACGACATTCGTTTCCTCGCGGAGCAATTACTCAATTAGAAAAGCGTCACCGGAGAAAAATATTGCCGCCTCTGGCAGAAAAAACGGCATCGCCGTCGTGGTTAAACCAACCGTGTAAACGTGTAAAAGGAGTGATCGGAGAACGGCTTGCAAGTGCGAACACCGTCGGGCCGCGAAAGGATTCGTTTCACAAGAAACTAAAATTCGTTCTGTTGAGGGATTTCTAAAATTCTTATACGCGTGTAGGTGTATTATTTTTAATTGCGTGTTAGTCATTGATAATAGCCAAACCTTATTAGACTGTTGTTTTCTCATACATTCTTTTATCTTTATTTTTAATCTGAATCAGTGATATGGTTTATCAACCGGATTAACTTGTTTAGTACCCGAAAACAAAGGATATTTGATTAAAGCTGGATTTCTGTTTTGTTTCAGACATCCCCTGTTCCCGCTTCTCGCGTTGATCTTCGAGAAGTGCGAACTGGCGACGTGTACGCCGCGCGAACCAGGCGTCGCGGGCGGTGACGTGTGCTCGTCAGAGAGCTTCAACGAGGACATCGCCGTATTCTCTAAACAGGTAAGAATCTTCGATATCCAAGTCAACCGACGACGATTATAATCAGATTTTAAGACCAGGACTATAATTAACTCATAACTAAGTAATTTTTAACAATGTCACTTGTTCGGCAATCTAAATTATTATTTTGTTGTCTATTAAAGAGTAAGGAACAGTTATAAAAATGTCTAAGATTTTCGAGACTAAAAATCGGAACGGTCGTACCAGGTTCGGTCCAAAACGGTCGCGCGTGGAATTCGAAAAGCAGAAAGGGGGCGACGTCCGGAGTCCCCTAATTTCCCCCGATTCCAGCGAGCAACGTTGTCGCGGTTGAAGCTTCGTGAGAGAATGTTCGAAAGTAACCTCTCTTAAATAAGTTCCAAGAGCCGCTCCAAATGAGTCACGACTCTCTCGACACGTCCTTCTGCTCCACGGGGCAACTGTGAAAGAAATAGCTTCCCGAGGCAACCGTATGCGACCCGTGTGGATGTTTTGGGGATCCGAGGGAGCTGGCTCTTGACGTTGGGACTTATTTTTAGGAATTCCAACGAGAAAGATCGTTCCCCAAAGATCGTCCAGGGCCGTGTTCTCCGACCGATACGAGCCGGTCAGCCGGAAGACGACTCGTATTCGCGTTGTTCGCGCCTCGGTCCACTTTCCTCATTCACCGTCTTTCTCATTCGCTCGTTCCATCATCGGCCGAACCCTTTTTCGTCCTCTTTCTCGTTTCTCACTCTGGTAACTCACCTGAGGCGAGCCCTGGCCAAGGACACGCGCGTGGGTAACCAGAGAACCTATATGTATACTCGCGAGACGTTTTGGGGCTTTTAAAAACATGCCGTTTCGCCATCCACGTTCCTCGGCTCGAGAGGTACACGTAGATCAGGCCGGGGGCACGTTCAGGTATACACAGATATGTAAGATCCTAATCGTTTCTCTGTCGAACTATTTTAAAGTCATCGACGATCGTTCTATTAATAAGTATTAATTTCACGATACATTTAATCACTGGCAAGAATTTATCTAGCTTGCATTCACATTAGCTTGTATACAACTGCAATTAGTTAATCCTTGAAGGAAGTGCATAAATTGGCTTACGTACCTTGTAGTATCAATTCAAGAACTTCATTGTCGCACGCACCTTTTATGGTATCGAGTCGATGGTCTCGTCGTTTGGAATAAATTATCGATTTTTTTTCACGACGTTTGCTAAGAGGAAAAAGGGGTTACGGTCGGAATGGAACGTCGGCCGTTTCTCACATAGGAGAGACAGAACGGTTTCGCAGAGACACGGGAATAGCCGGGATATTTAGCCGGTGGAAACAAAGCGAAGTCAGAGGTGGAGGAGGGAGGTGAAGGCGATTAAGTCGAGTCGACAGCGCGGACGATAAAAATGTTGGCTCGGTAGTTCTTTGCGCGTTTAGTCGATGCAAACGAATGCAGCACATTTAGATTGAGGGATATCGGCGCCTATGTATATCGTAGAGCTAGATAGCCACATCGTTCGTGGGTTATCTTTGCATAAAATTGCACTTCTGCCTTCGACCGAACGCGAACCTGACTACCTCTTCCTTCTCCTCCTCCTCCCGTTTCTCTTGCCCCGGTCGCCCCCGCTAATTATTCCAGGCGGCCACCGCGGACAAAAGTCGCCTGCCCGTACGCAGGGTTACCGTCGTTGAATCTTGTTGGACCGTTTTCGTTTCGATCATCCGAAAACTCAGTTACGGCTGTAATGTCTAAATATAGAACGGCGGTAACACGGTAGCAAACGGCCCGAGCCACGTTACATCGTGATAACGATAAGAGTTAATCCTCGTCGCGAGGTGGGATAAGGCGTGAGCTGACCCGCGCACGTTAACTCGATGCTGCGTTATAACGCCGATGGGAATTACGTGATTTGAAAACAAACGCTTCTATTTCAATCCTTAATTTTTCCAAGGTATTTGATACATTTCTGATAACAGGCGATTTTATTATATTATCATTTGAATTGGAAACATTCTATAATTGCATTGGATGGAAAAACAGATATGATCATGGATAGATACGCTCACGTTGAGTCCGTTAGGATTGCGAAATTGACGTGACATTTGCATCTTAATAAACCGCATAGGATTTAACTCGAGGAGCAATGAGAAACGAAGCTGGTAAAAAATCGAAAGAAGGATACGTTCATAAATACGTGCGTACATACCCGAAGGTTCCAGCGTAGCTCGTAAGCGTATCGCGCGAGTAAATTGTACATACGCGTTGCTTCCCGGTCGAAGGTTTCCACGACAATCTACCGCGCGAAAGTAGTATCGTCTTTTTCGCTACCGGACCTCGTATTTCAATCGCGTTATCGACGCGATTAATTTCGCCTGGCGAGATAGAAGACGGTCGCCAGCATCGCGTGCATATGCGCTACCATGTCTCGAGCGTGAATGCGTATTTATACCGTCGAAACATGTACGTATACTTAATCTCCGAAGATGAAGAAGATTGGAAGTTTGAAAACGAGGAAGTGGTGTCCCATGGACGCGATCGTCCGTGAGACGTGTCCCGCTAATTCAGAGATTACGCGACGGCCCCACGAGCGGATAAACAAATTGTCAGAGCGGGACACTCTGGCTACGTACATTCGCGTTCCCCTCCGTCTTTTCAACGCGGATAATGAATTTTGATATCGAGCCGACATTACCGTTAGGAAATTTTCTCTACATTTGTCTCGTTGTCAATTCTACTAAGTAGCCGCTTTGGTAAAACGTAAAAGACTGTCCATTTTCCTGGCATGTACGTGTCACGATTATCAATTACCCTGATATCTGATTCAGTAAGGTCATTTTGTCTATTCGTTCTAAACCTGTGGCCTATTGCATATTGAATTCATAGTGGTTTTCATCACGAGATTTCATCGCGCGGTTCAAGTTCTCGATAATAGAAGTGGAGACTTATAAATTATTTCGTGTACAGAGGACGAGGGTAGAAGACTTATGTAAGTACAGATTAGACTGTCAAAAGATAAGCGGGTGACAATCCTCTTGCGGCGTTTTTCGAGGCGTGCTCGAACCCTTTTACGCCCCGTCGATACTCGGACGAAGATATATTATAGCAGGCTAGCCGGTGCGCGCGACAAAAGGGCCGCGTGCGTGTACGCACGCGGGATTAATCCGTTTTCGCGGTTTCGTTTTCGTTTGCATGTGCGTCGTCGAACGCATGCGCCCTTTTCGAATCAACAGCGTCGGGACGCATGCGCTTTCTCAGTTGCGGGACGACCACCGCCGACGCCGGAGTCGTGAGAAGCGACGAACCGTACGCGAAGAGAGCGCGTACCCTCGTGGAGTGGGGTGCCGCTCAGCCGGTGGAGAGCTGCTGCTCATTTTCTGCCATTGTAAATTGATCTATTCAATGGGGCCCGGGCATTATCCCGTGCGGTCCACGGATCGTGCGTGCCCTATGGGGCCTCCTCGATACATCCCGCGCGCCTCTCTTTTTGCGCCCGGCCTCTCGCTCTCTCACTCTCTCTTCAGCCTGTGCCTAGCAGCAACGTGCACCGCAGGAGCCTCCCGCTGGGCCACGTAACGCGCATTGTTGTGCCCTTTTTTTAACCAGATGGATCGACCGTCCCAGTTTTCGTGCGCGCAGGGCGCTCCGCTGCGAAAATTTCGCTTTCGTCGGTGCCCCGTCGCGCCGCGTTGCGCATCGCCAGCTCCGAATTAATCGCTCGTCCAAGGGAGCATCGACGAGAGCTTTTTCTTTGCGGCGAGACAGTGGCGCGCAGACGCGATACTTATACCAAAACATTTGCCGTTCGAATCGCCTGTAAACGCCACCTAAAATACGTAAGTATGGTATTAAAAAACATGGGCATTATGTTTGGGCCATACATGATAAGCCAGCGCACCTGGGACTATCGTAAAGATCGTGAAAAATAAAAGCCGATTGGAAAACACCAGATTTTTGTCCCAGGTCCTAATCTGGTGCGTTTTACTGGTGTAATTAAGTGATCTTCTCCGAGGGGATTAAGCCTTTGGGCTCAGCGCTACAACGATATAAACGGGTGGATCTTTTACTCATTTTATAATCGATGGGAGTGACACTGTTGGTCGAAGTGATTCTGGGAGTATTATAATGCAATTCATTCATGAAATTATCAATGATATACATAAATTAGACAGAACGTAACATATTACGCGGTTCCTTTATATAATGCGTCTTTTACGTAATATACTACAAATAGTAGACGTGTCGTAAATAGAATCGCAAGCATGATCGTACTTTTTATCGCGATTAACTGAAAGATGTGTATCACAGGTATAGCTGCGGGTGACAGTTAATTGATCTCATGCATATGCATAATACATAAAGCACGTGGCTGGTTACTATTGATCTGACGCCTCCGGTGGCCGTTAAAATCCGCGATCTTTTGTATCGCGGCGTTGAATGAATCGAATATCTATCCCGTGCCAACCTATTCCGGTCTTATGAATGAGCCGAACCGTCGAATGTCGTGAAAATTTCAGCCTGAATTGAAAATATTGCAGGAATAGACTCGGCTTTTTATAGCAACTGACCGTTTCAGTATTTTTATAAGATCCAAATTAATACGAATAAGAATAACAGATCGTTTTATAAAAAGATCATGTTTGTGAATGAGAGTGGACTTGTCTCGGTGTGTGTAGAGATAGCTTCTTAGTTAAGAACGAGATAAAAATATTGTGCGATAATATTTAGAGAATGCTCTCGTTTGGGCACGTCCGTTTGGGGCTGGGCTTCTCGTATGCACGTACAGCGCGACGATCCTGTCGAGAGATATACGAAACAGCTGCTCCTGCACGTGGCCGTTGCTTCCATTGGCATTCGAGCTGTCGAAAAGCTTCGATCCCAGGCTGCCATTTCGGCTGAGGAAACTCGTTTCATCGCAGCTAACCATGTGCGTTCACCGACTTGTCGATTTTGGATTATACGGGCGGAATCAATAGGAAGAATCTGTTAAATCGATTAATCATTTATTTACTTGTACATTTTATTAAAAGACGCTTCGTGGGCAGTCTTTATT